ACCCCTTCCTCCTTTCTTTCAACAGTTTTTCTTTGTCCTCAGCGGTCGCTGCACAGTATCGGACCGCCCTCTTTCTTCTCCCTCATAAACACATATATAAGCTGGTATCACACACTTGGGAACACCGTTCCGTTTTCGTGCGTTTATGAGCCAGTCTCATTCTCCATCTCGTGCTAACTCTCCAGATCTTAGGGCGGCTGCCCCCCCATCTAGACTTGTTTCTAACGGTTCGACCGACTCGGTCACCAATGGACTATCGCAGGTCCTCTCTAACATCGCGGACGACACCGCGGTGAAGGGAAGACATGCCAAAGCCCTCCGCGACGCCACGGTGAATGCTATCAACGACGTACGGACGGAATCGAAGGAGGTTGCCGACATGCTGACACACCGGATTAGCCAAGGTACATCTTCCCTGTTAGCTGACCTTAATAATACCTTTGCAGCGGTAGGTAGGCGTATTGATAATATCCCTGTCGTAGCATCCCTTAGCCCGGATGGGCCCTTACAAAGACTTGTTCCTTTCGTCGGATCTGGTGAAGATTCGATGCAATTTTCTATGTGGCTACGGCGTTTGGAGGATGTCATGAGGATGCGATCCGCTTCGTGGACACCTCAGCAGAAGGCATGGTTCCTCATCGGCTACTTGGATGGCGCGGCACGAGAGAAGGTCGAGGAGCTCCCCCTGGACGACCGCGAGAGCTACGACGCGATCGTCGCCCACCTCAGGAAGTCGTTTGAGGGTCCCCAGCACAGGTACATGGCGCGGCAAGCCCTGTCTGCTTGTAAGCAACAAACAGGTGAATCTTCTGCTGCATTTGCTAACCGTCTTCTCACTCTGGTCCGTGCAGCCACCACAGGACAGGATCCAGCTACCCAGAAGGAGCGTGTCTTGGAGGAGTTTGTCGCACGCCTTCGTCCAGATATCAGGTATTATGTCAAACTTGATAACCCATTGTCGTTTGAACAAGCGGTTTCAAAGGCCCAGATGGTAGAACAGTTGTTGGCCGAGGCTACGGCAGATCGTTTGATCACACCTTCAGCGCCTCCTAGACCAATTGAAGTTAAGACAGCAGCGCCTAGAGGGTTCAGTCCCAGACGCGACCAGCGCCCTCTGGCATTTAGCCCTAGGCAGGGGCGGTATCAGGGTTCGAATCCTCGATTCAATCTAAACCGTCAATTTCAGAGGCAGCGCAACGGTGGCTACTCTCGAGACACTCAAGGAGGACCAGCTCAACCCTGCTACAACTGTGGAGGCACCGGACACTTCGCTCGACAATGCCCATCGCCACGGAATCAGCGCAGGCCTACAGGTACCCCTTCCTATAATGTGCGTTCTCGTTCGCTTGACCGTCATGTGCCTCATTCTTCTCCATCATCTGAGCTATATTCAGCTCGTCGTGATCAGTCTCACGACCTTTTGGAAGCCCGCGAACAAATTCGAGCTCTCTCTGTTTCTCTGCGCGAAAACCAATCAGCATTAGAGCGATCTGAAGCGAGAGCACATGCTCTCATTAAACGTAACGAAGAATTAGCTCAAAGTTCTTTCGGCGGTTTGCCTTCTTCTTCCTCTAGATCTGGTTCGAATCACTTGCCTCATGTTAAGTTTCTATTGCCGCTTGTGGCACTTTCACTTTGCGGGAGCACTATGGCTCTCCCGATGTCCGCGTGGCTCTGCCCGCAGGATTCATCGGACACGTTTATGAGAATTCCATCCTCATACAATTGCTCGTACATTATTCCTCGCCTCGGTGATATTCCTCGTCCTCTCTCTCTTTACGTATACCGCCCAAATACGAAACGTTACGATACACCTGCGTTCCTTTGTAAGATCATGACGCACACAGTGACTTATTCGGTCAACTTTTTTGGGGCACGATTTGAGAACCATTCTGAGACCTTGGAAATCGTCCCTTTTGAGACCTGTAAACTTATGATTCAACATCATCGATGCGCTCATGGGAACCTGCAGTCAACTGGGGACACCTGGGCTACCTCTAACGTCCTATATATCTCGTGGCCCTCTGCCCCATTTGGATGTTGCTCCGATCACCTCGCGTCTGCGACTAACTGCTACGTGATACCCACTGTAATCCATATGCGTCACGGGTCGTCCTTCCCCGATTCCCCGGCGGGTGACCTTAAGCACTGCAGCTACAGCGCAGGTAGTTGCACCTTACGTGACGGTTCCGCCCTGGTGTGGACACCCAACACCGAAGAGCAATGCCAGTTCGTGCCAGTGACCAAGATGTCCGGCCATAGCGTCGGCGACATCTGGATAAGTGACTCCAAGGAGTTCGCATTGTCCTGGCGCAACACCAGCAGCCAGATCCAAGACTGCGGCAGGGATCTTACGATTTCCGACCAGGGGTACGCATTGGCGTCTATCACCAAGGTACCGCGTCAAACCACCTATGACGTCGGCGTAGTTCTCTCCAACCAGTTGGCTGCGCAGCTCCTGGCCGCAGAAGGGTCAATGGGATCAACGGTGACAGCTTTGTTCCACCACGCGCTCACCGCTATCTGCGATAGGACCAACTTGCTG